GGACAGCTGGCCCGAGTAGCAGGCGAGGCCCCTGGTGCGGTCAGGATGGTCATCGGCTCCAAGTATCCTTTGGGTGGCCCCTAGGACTGTCAGAGGCCACACTTGGCAAGCCACGGAGCAAGGGTGTCAGGCAGCCTGCCTCTGCCCAGCTATGGGGTCCAGCCCCATGGGCTTTATCTTAAAGGCTGCAACAGGGCCTCCCCCAGACCCTGGGTGTTGGGGGCAAGGGAGGAGGGAGAAGGCTGGGTTTGATGGAGTGGTAAGTAGAGGTGCCCGGACAGGCTCCTTGACCCTCCTCCAGATTTGACCAGTATATGCACACGGACGTGCCTGAGCGTGACCTCACAGCCTTCCGGCAGGCCTGGGAGCTGCCCCTCCTGCGGGTGAAGAGTGTGCCAGGACGACGGCTGGCAGATGGACGCACGCTGGATGGGCGGGCTGGGCTGGCCGACATTGCCCATGTGCTCAACGGCCTGGCAGAGCAGTTGTGGCACCAGGACCAGGTGGCAGCTGGCCTGCTCCCCAACCCCCCAGAGGACACCCCCAGCTGAGGGGTGGTGGCATGATGAGTGGGCACTCCCCACCCTCAGTTGACCCAGAGCAGGACCCAGGGCCCAAGGCTGGGACAGGAATATTGATCTCATCCCGAGGGCTGGCCAGAGGGTCCTAGTCAGGGAGAATGGTGGCCTGAGAAGGCTCCCAGCCCCAGAGCACTTTCCTTGTGGAATTCTTGGCAGTGAAGTGGGGCACAAGGCTCGGTAGGGCAGCCATCTGAGGGCATCTGGCTGTCCACTGGCCTCCTCCCTCTGCCCTAGGAGTCTGGGTTTCTGGAAACGGAGGAACTGTATGCGCAAGGCCTGAGGGCTCAAGCATCTCCCCAGCCTCCCCCTGCCCTTCCCCCTTCTGCAGCAACCATGGAGTGTGACTGGGGAGAGTGGGTGCCTCAGCTGGGCCCTGGACCTCAAGTGACTTCAGTCAGAGCCTGTACGTGTTAGTTGAGGTAACACCATCTGCTGTACCAGGTAAACCCTGAACTCTCAGTGGCTTAACTTAATAGAAGTTTTTTTCTTTCTATGTCTCACCTCAGGTGGAAGTGAAGGTGGGTGGGGAGGCTCTGCTCTATACACTGATTCAGAGACCCAGCCTCTGACATCTTCAATGAGTTTCTTCCCAGTTTGTCCTGGGGCATCAACATCCAGTCAGGAGACGGGATGAGTGCAGGTGGAAGGTCCGCCAGCAGCTTTCTATGGACTTGGCCTAGGACAGTGTGCCTCATTTCTGCCCACATTCCATTGGCCAGCACCTAGTCACATGGTCACACAGAGCAGCAGGGGAAGTTGGGAAATGTAGTCCACCTGTGTGTCCAGGAGGCAAGCACCTCACTCTGGAATTCCTTTTTTTGACCATGAAGCTGTCAAGCTATGCTTAGCACAGGGGCCCTGCCAGCCTGGGGGAACCAGAAAGTATCACTGGGCAGGGACTGGGCCAGGTGGGGGGTCAGGGCGTGAGCTGGCAGGAGGCCAGCAAGGACAGGAGCAGGAAGGTGAGTGACCTTGTGCCCTTGCCCCATCAGCCAGACACTAGTGAATGTGGGCGAGAGTTGTAGGCACCTGCGGGCAGGTGCCTACAAAATCGGCCTTTATACTTTCTTTCCCTCCCCGGTGACACCCTCTCCAGCCCCATAGATGGACCCCTGGGCAGAGAGCCGGCCTGAGTCTGACCCAGCTGGAAGGGCCCTGGATGCCCAGGTCAGCCAGCCGACCCTCAGAGCCCCCTCTCGAGAAAGCAGCTCTGAACACTCCACACTCACACGCATGGTCATGTGCCCACACACACCAGTACTTGCTCTGAAATGCTGCCCCGCTTCGCCCTCCTGGCGCACACAGGAGGCTCCTGCATGCTCTCCCTGGCTTACGCTCCTGGCTTACTGATGGCCTGCATGGCACTGCTCTTCAGTCTGTCCACCCTGTGCACTGCCTGTAGGTTTGTCAACCTTTCCAGGGCCTAAAGCATTGATTTTAGCACCTTCTTACCCGCAACTCAGGTTCAGAGCTGAGACCTGAGCTTAGCCCTTGTCCCAGAGGAGGAATGTTGCTGGGCAGGACCCAGGCCTCACAGCCTGCACAGCCCACCGGCCGACTCCTGCTCCCGCGCCGCAGAGTGTCCCACTGCCGCCTTCAGCTCTGCTTTGGCCCATTTCCCTCTGGTCTTAGCTCCAGTAGACCTCACCCACCAGGCAGAGCAAGGCAGGACCCAGCAAAGGTGGCCTCTGGGCTGGAATGTGGCCTTCCAGCTATGGATACCCGTGTGTGTTGTGGGCACCAGCTACCCCACATCCCAGCCAGTTCTCTCAGGCCTTAAAGCGTCAGCATCCTTCTTGGCCACCAGCTCAGCCAAGAGCCAGAGGCTGCTCAAGTAACCTAGATCCTCCCCACAGCAGAGCGGGGCACTGGTTGGCACTGGTTAGCACTGCTCCAGTCAGAGAATCGACCCCTCACACACTTTCACCCCAAACCAGAAGGTAAACAATTCCCTTCTCCCTGAGTAAGAACGAAGTGGGGACCACAACGGTGCTAAGACTTGGAGCCGGCCACCTGCCGTCCCAGCGCTGCCTTCTCAGCCCCTCAGAGCCCAGGCCCAGTGCCACTTTAGTATTTCATAGGCTACCCCCTTAGAGGCCTCCACCGAAGTACAGAGAACTGGAAGCACAAGGGAGGAGGGAGCTGCAGAGCCATAATTCTCCTAATAGCTGGTGGCTGTCCCCGCAGAGTGGACTCTGGGCAGGGTCGTGGAGAGCGAATGAGAAGAGAATGTGTGTGCACACACACACACACACACGGACTCAGGCCGGCTTTGTGGGCCTGGCACCTGAGCAGTCCACAGGGCTCTGCACTGGGGGGCCCACACCTGGTTTAATGCTCTGCTGTTGCCATCTTGAAATCCTTAATAATTTTTCAATAGTTTTCCACTGGACACCACCAATCACGTGGTAGGTCCTGCACAGGAGAGGGTCCAGACTCCAGATAAAGTTCCTCTCTCAGGGCCTTGGAGACAGAGGCCATCCTGTGGCCTGTCCGGAGGCCACCGGAAGTTGGGGAGTTGCCTTCTCCCCATTTTGGTGCCAGAAATTCCACCGTTAGGTTAAGCCTTACGACAGCTCAAAGGCAAATACCCTGCTGCTCCCTTTGTGGGCCCTGAGGCTACCTGGAGGGAAGGGGTGGTGACTGTGCCCCCAGGCTGGTTCAGGGGTGAGCCCTGACTTAGAGGGGATCCTTGGGAAGAGGGAAGCCATGTTTGCTCCTCCGGGCCCTGGAGCCCACAGACTTCAGGGCTCTAGAGGGAAGCTGGAGGGAGGAGGGACTAGCTTCTCCAGGGGTGGGGGTGTGTGTATGTGCTGCAGCCCAGCCCTGGTGCTGTTTGTCAGGACATCCCAGACCCCTCTTCTTCCCTCCCCAAGCCCCTTTCCTACAGAGGGGAAGTGCTATGCACCAAATGGTTGTGTCCCCCCAAGATGCATACACTGAAATCCTAGTCCACAGTGTGATGGTCTTAGGGGCCTTTGGGAGCGGATTTGGTCATGAGGACAGAGCCCTCATGAATGGGATTAGTGCTCTAATAAGAGGGACCCCACAGAGCTGCCTAGCCCCTTCCACCATCTGAGGACACAGAGAAAAAGTGCTGGCTGCGAACAAGGAAGAGGGCCCTCTCCAGAACTGGGCTGTGGTGATGATCTTGGACTCCCAGCCTCCACAGCCACGAGAAATAAATTTCTGTTGTTCATAAGCTACCTGGTTTGTGGTTTTTTGTTATAGCCGTCCAATGGACTAAGATAGGGAGGCTGAGGCCAGAGAGGGTCAGGCGTTTCTCCAAGGTTGCAAAGCCATGGAGCAGCCCTGATGCCCTTAGCCTTCCGTACCCCTCTCCCCTGGACTGTCCCTTCCCCTCATCCCCCAATGGTGTCTTCTGGGTGCAGCCCCTCACATGATCCCACCTGGTCTTGCTTTTCCAACCAGAAGCCTGGGGCTGCCTGTAGGAGGGGAAATACGGTACTGGTGCCTGGCTCCCTCCTCCCTCTCCTCTTTTTCTCCTTCCCCCATCCTTCCCAGGCCACAGTGAGCTGGTAAGTGAAGCTCCTGCCTGCTGCCAGCCACCAGCCAAGCCCAGCCTTGTGGACAACAAGGAGAACCCCAGGCAAGTTGCCTGCTCCCAGGATGAGGAAGGAGATGCAGGAGCCAGATCTGCAAAGGCTGCTGGGCAGGGCTCCAGAGCCTTGGGTGAGTCCAGAATGGGGGTGGGACTCCCTGGTGCTGCCCTGGATCTCCTTACTCCCAGGGCAGCCTGGTGCCAGCCATGACACCACCCCCGGCCTCCACCCCGTGCCATGAAACAGACTTGGGGGAGCAGTGCCCAGAGGGTGGCATGGGGCTCAGGGCCCAAGACAAGTCAGAGCTGTGTGGAGGCAAATCCCCAGAGGCCCAAGCTGGGAGTAGGGGGGTGGGGGGGCCCCTCCCTCCCTGTGACCTCAGACCTAGAGGCTGGGTCAGTGGGGGCGAGGTGAAGTGGGGAGAGTTGGTGTTCAATTCTATTCTAGAAAGAAGGGGTGTTTCCTGGGAGCAAAGGGGACCGACTGAGGCTTGGGGCCGTGGTCCAGAAGGAAGGTGAAGAGCTGTGACCTTGGGTTGGTCACTGTAATTCCTTTGTGTCATCTATAAAATGGAGAGAACAAGAGCACCCGCTCACTTCTTCTGAGTTGTAACAAGTAAATGCGTGTAAAATATTTAGCACTGGGCCAGGCACTGAATTAAGGGCCCAGCAAATGTTGGCTACTGTCTTTGTCGCTGCTGTTACTTATGGTAGTGGTGGTGTTTCTGGGGCTGAGAGCGAGTGGAGAAGAGGGAAAAGGGTCGCAGATCGCGCCGACAGCGCCTCCACTGTTGCGCCTTATAATTAGCCAGCGGTGGGCGGGCGGGTGGGCGGAAGGAGGGGCGGCCCAGCTGGGCTGGTGGAGAAGTTCCTGGCACCTGCACCTGCGCCGGGGTCCTCTCACCCGCACTCCGGTCCTGTTGCGCCCAGGACGGCGATGGTGCCGAGGACAAGGACCGGAGGACGACCGTCTCTGCGCGTCCCGCTGCAGCATTTGTGTCCCAGACTCCGGAGGCAACATTTTCCGCGACTGGAAAACCGAAATCGGTGAGACTGGGGCCAGACAGGACTCTTACCCCCACTTCACCGCTTCACTCTGGCAGCCGGAGTAGCCCACCCACCGTCCCTCTCTTACAGGGAGGAAAGAGAGGTCTTACCTCCGCGAGGAATCCCGTGGCATCTCTGGTCCTTTTCTTGCAATGGGCAGTTCCTCCTTTGAGCTAAGCCCAGTCGCTCTTGCTGTGGCGCGAACTTTCCTTTTTTTTTTTAAATTTATTTATTTGGCTGTGCCGGGTCTTAGTTGTGACACGCGGACCTTCGTTGTCTCCTGCGGGATCTTTAGTTGCGACACGCGGTATCGAACCCGCGCCCCCTCATTGGGAGCGCGGAGTCTTAACCACTGACCGCTAGGGAAGTCCCACGAACTATTTCCTTTAATTTGGGCCTTAGTGGGACTGATAAACCCAGCCCCCAACTCCCCACCCAGGGTGGAAGTGGGGTAGGGTGGGGCAGACCGTTCCTAACTGCCCTTCTGCCCCCGCGATGGTACAGACTTCCTGCTCGTGAGGGAGGACAAGCTGCGACCCCCGCGGCGGGCGTGGTGACAGCGACTCCTGCAAGCGGAGCTGGCGCGATAAGTTCCAGAGGAACCTGAGCGCGCCGGGCTGCTCCTGGAGGAGGTGAGCGCGGCGCGGTCGGGCTGCGGGGGCTCAGTCCCCGAGGCCGAGCGCGGGCTTCCCTAACGAGCCTTGTGACCTGCGCAAGCGACTTCAGTACCTCATCTGTAAAATGGGCTTTACCGTAGCGTCAGCCCATAGAGGGGCTGTGATGATTAAACTGGCGAGCGTGCAAAGCGCTCAGCCCACGGCCTGCTCATTGGAGGTGCTCAGTAAATGGGAACCAGCAACCACTACTCTATGACTCCGGCCTACTCAGCGTCTGCGTCTGTCTCCACGTTTGTAAAATGAGGGTGCTAGTTCCCCCCTCGTTTGAATTTCAAACGAGGAAACGCAAATCAAAGCGCTTTTGAAGGTGGCCAAGGGCCCGCGCGCGCAGAACGGGAACTGTCACTCCCAGGCGGGATCATGAGAGGTGGGGCTCCGGGCTCTGGCCCATCCGGAGACCCCGGCCCCCCAAGGAGTAGTGTCTTGCCAAGCGCCGCGCCCTCGCCGTGTACTTCGCCAAGCTGTGCGCCCTGGGAGCTGCTGGCAGAGGAACTGAGCCAGCGTGTGCCGCTGTAGGTGGGAGGGACGAGCTGGGGCGAGGTCAGCCCGGGGGCGGAGTCTTCCCAGGTACCGGTGACCCTGCCCTAGTCCTGCAGGCCCGACGTAACCCGGACTCGGACGGGGGGGTGGGGGGAGCTACTGCGGCGCCTTCGCCTGCTGCAACCTCTGCAGCAACACGTGCCCAATAAGCCACTGGACTTTCCGCCGCTCCAAGCTGGACTTGTCTCGGGTGGGCGGGGCCTCCCGCAGAGGGGAGGGGCGCCAGCCGCAGGCTTAGCCAAATCGAGGCTCCATTGCTCCTCCTTGCTTTGCCAGTGAGGCAACTCCTGCTTAACTCACTTTAGGTCTCAGGCTTGTCCTTTCCGCAGCCTGGGGTTCAGGCCGTGCCCGAGCGGCTCCCCGTCCCTGATTCCCACCCGTTCAATGCCCCTCAGATGCTCACCTGGCTGCAAAACACCCAGCCCAGGCTGAGCTTTGTGGGGAGAAGGGCTCTCTGGTTTTAGCAGCTGGCACATTTTTTAAAAATAAATTTATTTTACTTATTTATTTTTGGCTGCGTTGGGTTTTCGTTGCTGCACGCGGGCTTTCTCTAGCAGCCGCCAGCGGGGGTTACTCTCCGTTGCGGTGCGCGGGCTTCTTGTTGCGGTGGCTTCTTTTGTTGCGGAGCACGGGCTCTAGGCGCGCGGGCTTCAGTAGTTGTGGCTCGCGGGCTCAGTAGATGTGGCTCGCGGGCTCAGTAGACGTGACTCGCGGGCTCTAGAGCGCAGGCTGAGTAGTTGTGGCGCACGGGCTTAGTTGCTCCATGGCACGTGGGATCTTCCCCGGCCAGGGATCCAACCCATGTCCCATGCATTTGGCAGGTGGATTCTTAACCACTGTGCCACCAGGGAAGTCCAGCTGGCACGTTTTATCCCTGTGTCCCCAGCCTAGAGACTGCCCTCCCATCGTGTTAGGTCTCGCATTCGGCCGAGGGTTCAGCTTCTGACCCCTGCTCTGCTCACAGATTCCTGGTCAGGGCTTCCCATGACTCCTACTTCTCCAGCACCCAGAGGCACCAAGTGGTGAGACAACTGCCTGGGGAGAGTCCAGCTGGGACCTTACGGGGGCGGAGTTGATGCCAGAATTCTTTCTGGCAGGTGGCAGAGATCCTGGCCTGAACAATCTATGGGAAAGAGAAACGTGCAGAGATGGTCATGGCCCGTCTGCTGACCGAGGGAGTCTACACTGCAGCCTTCCCACTGCGTGAGGTAGAGATGACACAAACCCAGCTTTCTTCCACTGCAGGGGCATCAGGAGAAAATTCTGGGACTTCCCTGCAGCCCTCCTGCCTTTCCTCTCCCTAGGGCCCCTGTGATCTGCCCGGGTACCAGGTGCCTGGTGCAGACCTCAACCCTCCACAATTGTTGTATTCATACTGGGCCTGCTGGGGCTGCTGGCAAAAGTACCAGCCCCTGCACCACATACAGGAGGACTTTGGGGACAAGGAAGCTATCTGCTTTGGTTGGTGCATCTGGTGTTGGGGGTGAGGGCTGGGAGCTGGGGGTGAGTACAGAGATGCAGGCTCATGAGCATTCCGTCCCCCCACATTCTGTCACCTACACAGCCTGGGTGCTGCTCTTGTGGGTACCCTGGTCTTTACCTCTGGCCTAGTTACCATGGGCACAAATGTACCAGCGTGATGACTGGGAGTGCTGGGGGGATGAGCTGCATGGGCTGGGTCAGCTGGCTGGTTGAGGATAGACCCTCCCAGGATGGGGTACCCCTTGCTCATAGGGAGGAGATCTGTGCGAGCAGGAGTTCCTTCCTCGTGTGCTCACTCTGTGATACTTGTGCCACATGGAATATTTCCGAGATCTGCCCCGTGGCCAAGGTGAGCCAGGGAAGAGAGCAAGGGAATGGGTAGGTGTTTGGGACCCAGCACCTTGGGCCTAGCTGCTGGGAAGGCAGTGTGCCCTCTGCAGTGCGCCCTCTCTCCCTCCTCTGCAGATGGGCTATCTCTTTGACCATCTGGGAACTGTGTTCTTTAGCATCCTCATGTGCTTCTGGGCCACAGCCTTCCTGGAGCACTGGAAGCACAAGAGTACCACCTTGGCCCACCACTGGGACTGCAGTGACTTCCAGGAAGAGGAAGTGACGCCCAGCTCAGCCCTCCAGGCCCAGAACTCTGCTTCCTGCAGTTCTCAGAGGCCATAAGGCATGCTGGGAACAGCTCGGACTCTGGAGTCCAGCATCCCGGGATCCAGATCTGACTCTTCCCTACAATTTTCCTGGGTCACTTTCCCACCCTCCCCTGACATCAGGATGATATAAGGTTTGGTGAAGTTAAATACTAGAGGCATTTAGAGGCTCAAAGAGAAACTCTTCCTGAAACAGGGAAGAAGGAGAGAAGCGTTCCACTCACCTACCCATCTAGCCATCCACCTGTCCATCCAAACATCTAATCATTGATCCTGAATCTGTTTGCTTTTCTCCGTCTCCACTGCCACCCTCACTTTCCCCACCCCCTAGCCCCAGTCCAAACCACAATTCTCTCTTACCTGAACCCCTGCAGTAGCCTCCCAATATATCTCTCTGCTCTTATGTTTGCCCCCATTCAATCCATTCCCAGCTGCCAGGGCAATCTTTTTTTTTTTTTTTTTTCTGTACGCGGGCCTCTCACTGCTGTGGCCTCTCCCGCTGTGGAGCACAGGCTCCGGATGCGCAGGCTCAGCGGCCATGGCTCACGGGCCCAGCCGCTCCGCGGCATGTGGGATCTTCCTGGACGGGGGCACGAACCCGTGTCCCCTGCATCGGCAGGCGGACTCTCAACCACTGCACCACCAGGGAAGTCCCTGGGGCAATCTTTTGAAGATACGAATCACATCCTGAATTATCCTACTCAAAGCGTTCTAGTGGGTTCTCATATGCACTTGGAAAACTATCTAAGCCCCTCACAGCAGCCCACAACCCTGTGTGATCTGGCTTCTGTCTAGTTCTCCTCCACTGCCTCCACTGGCTTCCTGCTGTTTCTTGAATAGGACAGGGTTATTTCCACCCCAGAGCCTTGGCACTGGCTGTTCTCTGCTAGAATCTTCTTCCAGACTTTATATGGCCTGCTTTTTGTCATTCATATCTTGACTTAAACGTCACCCTTTTAAAGAGGACTTTCTTGGGAATTCCCTGATGGCCAGTGGTTAGGGCTCTGCACTCTCACTGCCAAGGGCCTGGGTTCAATCCCTGGTCGGGGAACTAAAACCCCACAAGCTGTGAGGGGGTGGCCAAAATAAATAAATAAATAAAAAGAAAGAGGCCTTCCTTGACCACCCAGTCTGAAGAGGCTCCTGTCACTGGTTTAATCTCATCACAGCATTTATCACTACATTTTCTTCTTTATTGTTTTTTGTCTGTCCTCTGCCACTAGAATGTGAGCTCCAGAGACTTGTGTGTGGTGTTGCTGTCTCCCTAGGGCCCAGAACAGTCCCTAGCATATAGAAAGTGCTCATTAAACATTTGATGGGTGAATCTGTGAACCACAAATCTATCTCTCCACCTATCCATCTGTCCAGATATCCATAAGGTAATCCATCCAACAGTTAGGGTTGACAAGAAGATAGAAACGAGACTAGTTATTTCAACAGAGAGGATTTAATATAAGGTATTGATTGGTTAAACAGGTTCTGGAGGACTGAAAAAGCAGGAAGGAAAAACTGAAGTAACGTAGTCATTGTGAACGGCACCTCTTTTTTTTTTTTTTTAAGAAGATGTTGGGGGTAGGAGTTTATTAATTTATTTATTTTTGCTGTGTTGTGTCTTTGTTTCTGTGCGAGGGCTTTCTCTAGCTGTGGCGAGCAGGGGCCACTCTTCATCGCGGTGCGCGGGCCTCTCACTATCGTGGCCTCTCTTGTTGCGGAGCACAGACTCCAGACGCGCAGGCTCAGTAGTTGTGGCTCACGGGCCTAGTTGCTCTGCGACATGTGGGACCCTCCCAGACCAGGGCTCGAACCCGTGTCCCCTGCATTAGCAGGCAGATTCTCAACCACTGCGCCACCAGGGAAGCCCCCAGCACCTCTTAGAGCAGTGAATTATACAACTCATGTGACTCAAAGAGTGGCCCTGCCTCTGCACACAGTCTCCTCCCCAACCCCTGCCGTGCTTCCCCTTCATTTTCCCATTACTTAGCACCTGTTTGTCTTTTAGGTCCTAGCTAAAATGTCATTTCCTCTGAGTGACCATCCCTGAAGACAGTTTTCCTTCATATGAGTTATTCACAAGTACATATTTGTGTTCATTTATCTAATGTCCGTCTCCCCAACTAGACTGTAAACTCTGTTAGGACTTAGATTTTGTCCAGTTTGTTCATCATGTCATATCCAGTATCTACTGCAGAGTGTATGTGGTCGGTTAATAGTTATTGAATAACTAATACATTATCTATTCATCCACACATCCATCCATCTACCCATCCATCCTCATGTCCATCATCCATCCAACCACACCCTCATGTCCTCCTCCACCTAGCCATCCATCCATACATGCACCCATCTGCCCATCTACCCACACATCTGTGCATTCACTTATAGAGATTTGCCTGTCTAGTTTGCCCACCCACCTGTCCACCTACTGCCACCCGTCCTTCAGACTATCCAGCCCTCTCCTACGTGTGCATCCATTTGTTGTTTACTTCTCTGGCTACTCACCCACCCATCCACCCATCCATCCATCCATCCATCCATCCACAGGCTCTTAGCCAGGCCTTAGGGAAAAAAGGCCCTGCAGAAACAAAAATGAATCAGACCTCATTCCTGCATTTCCAGAGCTCCCTGTGCAAACAGGAAAAGGCAGGAGGCTTCCCCCACCCCAGGGTCATGACACCCAGACCCTTGGGCCCTGGGATGTACATTTCTGTTGCCCCCTCTGATAGGAGTGCCCACATCCAGAGTTTGCTGCCCTGGCCCCACAGATGGCCCAGAACCCAGTGACAGGCCTGAAGGAGCCCTACTTCCCACCCCACACCCGTCTTCCCCGCCTACTCACCAGCTCTGCAGCCATCCTCATCATGGTGAGGGGGCATTGGGCCCTTGCTCTGGAAGGACTGTGCCCTCCAGGATGCGCTGGTGCCCTGGTGGACCTGCCTTCCAGCTCTGACAGCTCTCCCTGCTGGCCCCCAGCTCTGTGTGGCGATGATTTTCCTGGTGTCTCTCATCATTTACTGTGGCATCATCAGCATTGCAATGTTCCACACGGCCAACTCTGTGCTCGTGACCCAAGCGAGTGCCCCTTGGAGCAATGGAGGGTGGGACCACTGTTCCAGACTCTGGGCACAACGGGGGCATCCTCAAGTTCCTTCTGCCTCTCCACGTGGCTGGGCTCAAGGTGATAGCCATCACTCTGCCTAGGCTGGTAATGTTGCCAACATCGGCAGCACCGTGCTCTACCTGGTACTGATCCTCCTCCTGGTCCAGATCTACACCTCACTGGCTGAGCAACTCACCAGGTGGGATGAGTAAGGGCAGGAGATCGCAGGGGTGTCCTGGCATCACTTGGGAACTGTGAGCCCTGAGGCAGGGCTCCCTGCATCTCAGAGCCTGCAGCTCCCACCTCGGTGTCCCCAGCCTGCTCAGCCAACCTCAGATGAAGGTGGCCAGGGGGGCATGGTTGGCCTTAGGGGAAGGTGGATTGGGGACAGAAGCATATGAGCTGACCCAATGGGCTGGGCCTGCCCCCTTACACTCAATAAAACTCTGACCAGCTCTGCCTTTCTCCCAGAGATGCACAGAGCCCAGACCCTCCATGAAGATGCCTTCACTTTTAAAGTCTTCATCTTCCAGTTTGTCAATTTCTACTCCTCTCCTTTCTTTTTTTGTTTTTCTTGGCCACTCCACACAGCATGCTGGATCTTCCCCAACCAGGGATAGAACCCACGTCCTCTGCACTGGGAGTGCAGAGCCTTAACCACTGGACCGCCAGGGGAGTCCATCTACTCCTCTCCCTTCTTTGTGGCATTCTTCAAAGGCAGGTGAGGACTCCCCCCCACACCCCCACCAAGGCTGTCGACTCTCAGATGATTTGCCAGCAGAGTGGCAGCATCCTTGAGCCTCTAGATTTGTCTCTACCAAGGTCTTGACCTTGAAGTTGGTCCTTGATTTCCCTGGACTTCAATTTTTTTAAAAATATATTTATTTATTTATTTATTTTGGTTGTGGTGGGTCTTAGTTGCGGCAGGCAGGCTCCTTAGTTGTGGCTCGCAGGCTCCTTAGTTGTAGCATGTGAACTCTTAGTTGTGGCATGCACGTGGGATCTAGTTCCCTGACCAGGGATCGAACCTGGGCCCTCTGCATTGGGAGCATGGAGTCTGAACCGCTGCCCCAAGGAAATCCCTGGGCTTCAATTTTCTCAACTGTAACGTTCCAGTGCATCATTGGGTAAATGTGAAACTCGAACACCTGCATTCATTCATTCACTCAACCTCCCGTTGCTGACATTTGGCTTCATCACCATCTTTGTGGTCGCCTTTCCACTGAGCAGTCTGGACTGGATGCTGGGGACACAGAAATGAACCAGAGCTGGGCCTTCCCTCTAGGAGCTTCCAGTTTTTAACAAGGATGCGTCAGAAGTCTTCAAGGGCTAGACTCCCAGGAGGTGGTGTTACTGTGTAATTGCCATTGTCATTTGGCAGGAATGGGAGGGAGAATCACCAAAAGAACCACCCCTCCCCCCACCAGCAGCATGACTCCCTCTTCCTGGGCCAGAAATACCCAATTGACTTCTCATGGGTTGAGCAGTAGATATGGGCCATGGTCCCAACAGGCCTTGGGAACATAGCCTAGTTGGGGGCGGTGGGACAAGGCCTCTCAGCAGCCCGGTCACCAGTTATCTCTCAGTGGGTGGGCAGGGAGAGAGATCAGCCTCAGCGTGGAGTTTAGCTGTGACCTGGCTCCCGAAGGGGTGGGCACATTGCCAACAGATGCGGTGGGTCTACAGGATTGTGGGATACCCTGGTGAGCATGGCAGGCTGCTTGGCATGTGGAACGAGGACGTGAGTATCCTTAGAGAGCCAGCTCTTGAGGGACAGTGGGGGGCATCACACCCTCAGGTCTGGCAGGGCAGGATCTGCCTCTGGGGCCTCCAAGGAGTAGGGGGCCAGCCCCTAAGCCCTGAGTAAGGTGCTGTGTGTCTGCCAATCACAGTGAGCCTGGAGGCTGACTTCTCGAGCTTGCTCAACAGCTCTTCATCATCACAGTGGGCAAACAGCTGGTCAGCAACGTGCAGGAGTTCGTTGTGCTGTGAGCGCAGGGGATGATCTGGGGGTTGGGCCTAGTCAGGCTGGGGCAGGGGGCCTTTATGAGAGCAAAGCAGAAACCACCCCCCACCATGGGGGTCAGGACCCTGGAACATAAGTCCTAGTTCTGCCTCCTGTAAGCTCTGGCTTTGCTTCTCTCTAAGCCTCAGTTTGCTCACCTGTACAACGGGGACAATAATACCTCTCCAAGAGAGTTGAGTGGATTAAATGATATGCTGAACAGGAAAGAGGAGGGCTTTCTATTAGCATTTTAGATTGGGGAAGGGCTTTCAGAGACCGAGAATGGCCATGTAGGAAACACAGAGTTTAAGAGCCCTGGACTCTAACAAACAGGACTTGAGCTCTGGTTGCACCATTTACAACTTGGGGAGCCTTGGGCCAGGTCTCTGAGTCTCCATTTCCTCCTCTGTAAAGCGTGAATAATCATGGTGCCTATCTTTAAGGGAGTGGGAGGATAGAAATGGCATTGTCTGGTCCCAGGAAGCTGAAGACCTGACGGCAGAAGAGACACCTGGCCGGGCTGCAGGACACCCAGATCAGGCAGGAGCAGCGGCGCTGGGAGGAGGACTGTCAGCTCATTGAGTTCAAAGGCCAGTTTGATGAATACCTGGAGATGGGTGAGCAGTGGCCCAGCAGTACCAGGCCCAGCAGGGTTCCTGGGGGCCTGGCCCAGCAGGGGAGGTGACCCCAGGCCTGACGCTCCCCAACTCCAGTGCTGCAGTCTAGGTTCATCACCATCTTCGTGGCAGCCTTCCCACCGGCACCCCTATTTGCTCTGCTCAACAACTGGGTGGAGATCAGACCGGACACCCAGAAGTTCTGTGTGAGTACTGGCGGCTGGCGGCTGAGCGGACCCGGCTGCTCCTGCTTGAAGCCATTGCCTACCTTTCTGTCATCATGAATGTGAGGAGAGGGGGGTAAGGAGGGAAATACAGGGTCAGAGGGGGAAATGAAGATCAGAGACTGGGAGGAGGCTCGGGAATAGGGAAATGGGGGCTGAGGTTGGAAATCAGGGTGAGAGATTGGGAAATAGGGGCAGAAGGCTAGGATCCTCGGGCACAGGCTCCTGCCTGCGGGAGTGGGGCTGGACCTGGGCGGGGATGAGTTAGGAGACTGGGTCCTGAAAGGCGGGACGGCCTTCCTGTGAAGCCCCCTTGCAGGCTTTCCTCATGGCCTTCACCTCGGACTTCCTGCCACGTCAACTTCATGCTGGCGCCCGCACCCCCTGCTTACCTTGCCTAGGGCAACCACACGCCCTGCGGGTGGGAGAACCACCGGCCGGGGCTGAACGCGGTGGGGCGGGGCCTGCTTGGGAGGGGCGGGGCCCTGAGTCTGCGGACCCGCTGGGCCTGGCTGGGGGCGGGGTGCTGAATCTGGAGGCGGGGCAGTGAGCTTGTGGGAGGGGTGGGGCGGGGCCTAACTGGGAGGGCAGGAAGCTGAGTCTAGGGGGCGGCTAGAGGGCAGAGGTGGCTGAGGGTACTGCTAACCTGGCAGGGCCAGGCTCTAGGGTGGGGAGGGGTGGGAGTGCCGGTCGCGGAGTCGAGAACCTCGCGGGACCCCGCGCCCTCCTCAACCCAGGTGCAAGGGCTTTCGCGACGCTCAGAGAAATCTCACCCTCTTCTACTGGAAGCTGCTGGCTGTGCGTCTGGGCTTCATCATCGCCTTCGAGGTAGGCTCAGCCATCTGTGCGTCGGACAGACCCGGGTCCAAGTTCAGGCTGTGCGGCTGACTGGCTGTAAACGGGGTATATTACAGAATAGGATCTACTTCATAGGATCGCTCTGAAGATTCAGTGGCAAGTACTTGCACGGCATAGTGGGTACTCAGTGAATTAATGTCACGACTACTACTATTATTGTCTCTTGGCAACAGCCCTGGAGCTCCTTCCAGCTTTGCTCAAGATCCTCTTTCTCTAGCTCTGATTCTAACAGGGTCCCTAGTGTTAAGGGGTTCGAATTATACCTCTGTGTCTTTGGGCAAATGAGGACCTCTTTATGCTTCGGTTTCTTTACAGGTAAAACAGGGGAAGTAATTTACTCACCTTCTAGAGTTGTGAGGATTAACTGAATGAATACCCGGAAACCCTCAGAATAGTGCCTTGCACTTAGTAAACGCTCAGCAGATTAAGATTGCTAAAGCAGTCCTTCTCTTTGGCCCCTCCTTCTCCCCAGCACGTGGTGTTCTTCCTGGGCCTCATCGCCTGGCTCGTGCCCGACGTGCCAGCCGCCCTGGCTACCAAGATAAAGCGCGAGCGTTACCTGGCCAAGCAGGCGCTGGAGGACGACAGGGAGGCGCTACTTTCGGTTAGCGCCGCCCACGGACCCTGGCCCCACCCCCTCTGACCACGCCCCTATGCCTGCCCCCAGGCCTAGGCTCTGCTTTCTTGCCCCGCCCTCTTGTTTGGCCTCGCCCAGGGGGAGGATTGGCCGCTTGCCCTCAAATTTTCTCCTGGCCTCCCTCTTCATCCAGCTCCGCGCACGCCACGCCCCTTCTTTTACACTGTTTCCACCACTGTCGCTTCTGCTCTGGAGGGCCCTCCTGCTCAGCCTGACCTAGCCTTGCTTTCCGTCCACTGCAGCAAGGGCGCTGTTCCCAGAGCCCAGGACGTAGGGTCGAGTGAGGAGAGACTGCCCTTCCAAGACCCTAGTTCCCCCAGGATCCTCCCTCCTTTGGGGTCCTCTGCTTCCAGCTAGGGGTCTGGGCAGTACCTTGGCCAGCGGCCCCAAGGTCGGCCCTGGAGTTGGGATGAGAGGGCTGGGGTTCTCTGAAGACCCCTAGTCCTGCATTGCCTCCCTCTTCATGTTTCCAGTGTCCTGCTCTATGTGCAACGCTGACAATAATCCTCTCTGCGCCCCAGCGTGCCACCTCTCCATGGACATCTGGTCCCCAACCACTCTGTGCAGTGTCTCCTCATTATGTGACTGTGCTCTGGGGGGCGAAGTGGATATGAAGGAGTGAAGGGACCTAACCTCTCTGAACTGAATGGTCAGCAGTTGGTAAGGGAGAGCTCATTAGGGTCTGGGCGTGGACCTCCTGCCCTGTATGCTCATCAAGACCTGTAGTGTGTCAATAGTAATGAAAGTGTCTATAGTTAGGTCAGCTGAGACACCTCCCAATGGACTTCCACACACTTTTCACCAGATCCTCCCCAAAGCCTGGTGAGGCAGTACTGGGCAGTAGTTAAGGGCACAGATTGGTGGTGGAGTCACAGACCTGGGTCTGAATATGAATTCTGACTTTTATTTGCTGTGTGACCTTGGGCAAGTTCAATTTCATCATTTGTAAGATAGGGATTTCATAGAACTGATGAGAGATTTAAATGGGATAATGTACTTAACATGTACAAGTCTCATGTCCTCATCTGGTAAGTAGGAGCAGTAACAGTATCTATCTGGGTTGTGGTGGATATTAAATGATTATTTATGTGAAGTGCTCAGAACAGTGCCTGGCACACAGTGAGTGTACAATAAGAGTTGTTAAGCAACGTGAGTATTAGTATTTGTATACATCTTCATATTAAGTGTCTGGCAATTACCAATTGCTCAAATAAATGGCATGCGAAGGGGATTCCCTGTGGTCCATTAGGACTCCGGCGCTTTCACTGCCAGGGCGGGGGGTTCAATTGCTGGTCGGGGAACTAAGATTCCTCAAGACTCACTGCGTGGCCAAAAAAAAAAAAGAAGGCATGCGAAGATTGCATACCACTGGGCTATTTGAATTTTTTTTTAACATCTTTATTGGAGTATAATTGCATTACAATGGTGTATTAGTTTCTGCTGTATCACAAAGTGAATCATCTATATGTATACATATATTCCCCTATCCCCTCCCTCTTGCATCTCCCTCCCCCCCTCCCTATCCCACCCCTCTAGGTGGTCACAAAGCACAGAGCTGATCTCCCTGTGCTATGTGGCTGCTTCCCACTAGCAATTTTACATTTGGTAGTGTATATATGTCCATGTCGCTCTCACTTCGTTCCAGTTTACCCTTCCCCCTTCCCGTGTCCTCAAGTCCATTCTCTACATCTGCGTCTTTATTCCTGACCTGCCCCTAGGTTTTTCAGAACCTCTTTTTTTTTTTTTTTTTTAGATTCCATATATATGTGTTAGCATACGGTATTTATTTTTCTCTTTCTGACTTACTTCACTCTGTATGACAGACTCTAAGTCCATCCACCTCACTACAAATAACTCAATTTCGTTTCTTTCTATGGCTGAGTAATATTCCATTGTATATATGTGCCACATTTTCTTTATCCATTCGGGACATGGAATTGGTTTTTTGAGGGCTCATTCAGTGTGGACTAGAGTCTGGGAAGTCTGGTGGAGGAGGCTGTTGGAGATGGTGAGGGTGGGTCATTACAGGTAGTAGGGGAGGATAGATCATTCATGAGGAGCTGTGATGCTGGGAGGATGGCCAGGATGGTGCCAGGTGTGTCACATCACTGGCTTTCACGATTTCTGTCTCCCAACCATAGAGATGAGTGATCCCTTTATAGATGCTGTAGCAGGCTCAGAGAGGATCAACACACTGCAGAGTTCTCAGGATCCCTGAGGAGACCATGGCTTGGGAGTTTCTCTGCAAAACTCCCAGGATGCTCCCCAGCCCCAAGAAGCCCCCTGAGCACATCTCACATTTGGGAAGCTCCAGAAGAGGGGTGACCTGTCTGTCCCCTGGGAGGAAAAGCAGTGCCTCCCCCATCTTTAGGATGTCGGTCTGGGGTCCTTCAGAGCCTCTCCTTGGCATAGGACTCCCATTGTTCCAGCCCCCCTCTTGTACCTCAGACTGGCCAAACCGGTTCTGGGAAAGGGGGGCGGGGAGCAGGCACGTTGAGACAGCCGCCTGCCCGCCCGCGAGGTTCCCTCCGCCCTTGCCTCCCCTTCTCCCTGCCCCACACAATACCCGGGAGCTTGCATTGCCTGGCTCAGGGGCCATGCTGACATCGCCCCCTGAGGACCCGGCTGCATCCCCAGAGCTCCCAGGGTGTCCTGGAGCCCTGGACCGTGCTGGAGGCTGGACGGAGCTCCCTGGCTGAGGTAGGGCCCCACCTGGCTGCCAGCAACCCCTTCGTCCTCCCGCCAGTCTTCCCAAGCGAGTCCTTTGTGCAGCCTGCCTGGCCTCTGATCCTGGCTCCCACACACTTAAGGCCTCTTGGGGCTCCACAGCCTGCTTGGCCTGGATTCCCTTTCCAGTCATGACCTCCCACTTGGCCTTGTTCCTTAAGGAGAAGAGGGGCCCTGGCAGGGCCCTACTCCTCAGGCAGCAGGGCAGGGGGCACCAGGGAGGGGGAAGGGAAAAGCTGGGCACAGGAGGTCGGAGATGCTTTCTCTGGACCATAGTAGTGTCCAGGGACCTTCCCTGCCAGCCTTACCAAGTGGGCCCATTGTCCATGTGATTAGCAGTGCCCACTGGATGGGACCCTTTCTGGCCCTGCCCATCCTTCTCAGCCTGCAGAGATACTCACGATGACCAAAGTTTCCTAGGTGGGGTGGCTGAGAGGGGCCTTAGGGGCTGCTTTACAGATGGACACACTCAGGCCCAGGCCCAGGCTATGATTTGCCTAAGGCCAGTGTCAACATAGGGCCTTGAATGTTGGCAGGGGTTTTCCCCTGTGGGTTCCAGAATGACCCTTGCCTAGTGGGCACTAGAGTATCCCGTGACAATGTCTTGGGCAGGTAATGTCCCTCTGTTACCTGGGGCCAGTCTCTTCCTGAGGTTTTTTTTTTTTTTCTTCTAGCAGAGATAAGCTATAAACACTATGAACACAGTTCTGCCCCTCCTTGGTCCCCAGCATTGAGGCTGAGTGGACAACATCCATGGAAGGCCACAGGGCTGGCATCCTGGCTGGATGGGTCATTCTCATTGTCCCTTGGCCTGGACGGAGGTGGAGGCTGACCCACTCCTGACTTCCTCCCTAGGGACCTGCTTCCAGCCTTGTGGCCCCTGAGGAAGCCTTACACGCCCCCTCCATTTACCCAGCCTTCTCCTCTGAGGCTTTAATAGGGGGTGCTCCTTGGAATTCCCTGGTGGTCCAGTGGTTAGGACTCTGTGCTTCCATGGCAGGGGGCACAGGTTCGATCCCTGGTCAGGGAACTAAGATCTCGCATGCCATGTGGCATGGCCAAAAAAAGAAATTTTTTTAAAAATTGGGGGTGCGGGCTTCCCTGGTGGCACAGTGGTTGAGAGTCTGCCTGCCGATGCGGGGGACACAGGTTCATGCCCCGGTCTGGGAAGATCCCACATGCCGCGGAGCGGCTGGGCCCGTGAGCCATGGCCGCTGAGCCTGCGCGTCCGGAGCCTGTGCTCTGCAACGGGAGAGGCCACAACAGTGAGAGGCCCGCATACCGGAAAAAAAAAAAAAAATTGGGGGTGCTCCTGCCCCAAGGGTTCCATGTTTTGCTCATTTATCCCTGCAACTGACAAGGGCAGGGGGTTCCTCCCTGCCCTCTAGGGGCTTCCAGAACCCAAGTGGAGAGAATCACCCAGAATACAAGGGAGCAGAGTGTGTATTCTTGCACATGTGTACCCACAGAAGCAAGTGGGACTTCTGTGTTAAGGACTTCTGATTCCAGCAGAGAAAGAGACCTGTCTGGTGGGCAGTGGTCCCCTGTGTCTCCTGCCACATGCTTCTACAAAATAGGTGTGTCTCACCCTCACTGCCTCAGTTTCCCTAATTCTGTGATGACTGAAGCCATCCATCTGACTAGAGAAAGACTAATAACACTCAGAAGAATGACAATCAACTGCAAAGCTCCCACTATGTGATAGGTGCTTCATATGCATTATTCTTTTTTTTTTTTTGCTGCGCCGTGAGGCATGCAGGATCTTAGTTCCCCGACCAGGGATTGAACCTGTGCTCCCCTGCATTGGGAGCGAGGAGTCTTAACCATTGGACTGCCAGGGAAGTCCCCCTGCATTATTCTTTTTTTTTTTTTTTTTTTGCGGTACGCGGGCGTCTCACTGCTGTGGCCTCTCCCGTTGCGGAGCACAGGCTCCAGACGCGCAGGCTCAGCGGCCGTGGCTCACGGGCCCAGCCACTCCGCGGCACGTGGGATTCTCCCGGACCGGGGCACGAACCCGCGTCCCCTGCATCGGCAGGCGGACTCTCAACCACTGCGCCACCAGGGAAGCGCCCCCTGCATTATTCTTAATTCTCCTATTAGCGTTTTGAAGC